GTTTTGACTCCTAAAACCCCTTAAACCCTCGTAACTAAACCCTATTAGAATATAATTAACCCAAACATAAATAATATAAAGAAAAAATAATTTTGAAAAAGTTGCATTTTTGTAAAGATTTCAAAAATATGACATTTTTGTAAAGTAGCGTTTAAAAAGTGGCATTTTTAAAAATTTCTCTAAATCGTTTACTATATATTATCTTAAGATGTAAAAGCCCCTTTCACAAAATTGTAAATGATAATGACAAATCAATTTTCTCCTGTCGGGACAAAAGAAAAATAAGAGGTTGCAAATGAATGTTCATGAGCTTCCGTAGTGCTTGAAGATAAGTTTTTAGATTTTTCTTGTTTCTTTTGTTTTTTCACGTTTAAATTGAGTTGCATGATGCTGACGTACAAACTCATATTGAAACAAAATCAAAACAAATTTCTCAGAGGCTTCCGCTGACCTTTGTACGATTCAAACTTTGAAAGATTCAAGGTCTTTCAACCCCATATCGACGTAGTTAAAATGTTAAATCTTTTTGCATTACTCCTGAATATGATATCTCAAATGAAGTTGTCATTTAAATTACCCTATGCTTGTAAGTTGTGATTTGTCTATAAATCTTATAATAAACACCCTGGAAAGATTCTTTTTCGTTTCAATTTATTAACCATTAAACAGGAAAAATAAAATTCCCTAGTTCTGATTTCAATTCCTAAAACATTTTAGGAATTGCTACATTTCTTTTTCTTAACACTATTAAAGCTAAATACTATAAGATGTAACATTACACTTCCTTTAACTTTTCATTTTTATATTTTTAATGCAATGACCAAAACCATATATATATAAACCAAAACTTAGACCGATTTCAAAACTTGTAAAAAGTCAGTTTTTTGGTGCCATTTTTACAATGTCGAAGACAATTACCACAAATAAAGATATATATTTTGTGGAGTTTGACATTTTTCCTACACCTGAAAAATTATAAAATTATATTTTATAATTGGACTAACTTATGATCTTTATGGTGAAATAGATTACTTGTCAATTTACTTTATAATCATATTTTAACCAAATTTTTTTTGCGATCATAATAAGAGACCAAAAATTCTTCAAATCAAAATGGTTGAAACGATCGTAATATATTTCGCTCTCATGGGTCATTTCTACTGTACTTTTTATTTTATTTTCAAATTATGTCATAGTTTTATTTAATATATGAAAGAACAAAATTAAACAAATCCATCAAGTTTTTATGAAATCACAAGCTTTAAATGTATAATTTCAGAATGGATTTAATAGGTGATACGAAATGATAGAAACAAAAATTAGTGAGAATATAAAGTGATACACGATACTAAAATAGTTAAAAGAGTAAAGTGTAGTGGTATAAAAACTGAGAATAGTATTTTTGATATCACTATCTAGTTGGTATATTTTTATGACTGATACCTATTAATTTAGGTAATACAATGTAAAGGTTACGAATCAAACCCAATTATTTTCTAAATATATATACTTTCAATTTCACCTCTTACACTTTTCAAACAAGAAACTATATATCATAGTTTTTTTTTTTTGTATATTTGATTTGAGAGAGTGCATATTAAATGACTATCAAACAACTACTTTTGAAACTGAAATCAATATTATCTACGTTTTCAGGTAAAACTATCATAGATTTTTTAAAATTGGCTTAGGCCTATACAATCCTAAACACGGCACTAGCTATTATGAGAAGGAAAAATGATGAGGGCTTTGTATGAACAACCATTATAAGAGAAGAAAAAGGTACTTATGATAGATGTCAATTTTGCACAGTTTTAACCAATGTTTTGCTTTTGTTTCACTCCTATTTTGCTTTGTAGCATATTCAGTTTTAACCAATGTCAAACTTGGTATTGTACGATATATCCATTGAGTCTCTCTCTGGAAAAGGAATTTGGCTCAAGTTTTCTCGATATCTAGTGAGCTTTTTCAAGAGACAAAAACATGGTTTCTATCACTTTACGGGTTTGCATGACTGTGTGAGAATAAGAAATGTGTATATGGGATACGTAGTGATTAGAGATAATGCTTATAAACCTAAGAAATGTGTATATGGGATCTTAGGTGGATGACTCGTTAATTAGTAAATTACTATACAGTGATTAGAGATATACTCAATTACTTGTATCAAATTTTATCATAAAGTAGAAAGGTTAATTGTAATTCCCAAATCCACACATACATTTCAGTGCATTATGATGGTTTATACCTTATTTAATTTTTTATAGACATTTCAGATAATTTTAAGAAAATGATACACTATGTTGGGAGCAAGATTTGAAGCTGTTGCATAAAAAATTAAATAAGGTAGTAAGATCTGAAGCTGTTGTTATAGTGCACTTTTGGAATGAAAACCCTGTCTTATCACTTTGGACTTTGCGTTTCTGCGCCGTTATCATGTTCTTTTGTCCATAAATTGGTTTTCTTACCTCGATATGGCAGTTTTGGAATACAATTGATGCGTCACCGCAAATGAAATCGACCGCTCCGGTAATGTAACAATCACGATAAAATTGCCGATGCTGGTAAGCATAGAGTGTATCTTGATAGCCCTCGATACCGCATAGGTATGAAAACCGACGCATCACCGCTCACACGGAGAGCCACGGCCTGATGTTTTTCCGGGCCGGCTGTGTTTTCGGATGCAAATATCTTTGCCTACAAACCCAACTCCATCTACGGCTATAAGTAATTGTAACAAAATAAGCATTAGTCTCATTAGTATCATTAGCATTGGTATCGTCTTGGCTTTCACGCTTCTGAGCCGTGATCACGTTTTCCTGTCCATGAAGTGGCTTCCTTGCCTCAATATGACATTTCTGGAATACAGCTGTGGCGTCACCGCATATGAAATCAACCTTCCCGGTGATATAGCACTCGCGATAGAACTGCTTACGGTTGTCAGCGTAAAGTGTATCTTGATAGCCCTCGATACCGCAGAGGTATAGAATCGAATTATCACCGCTCACACGGAGAGCCACAGCCTGATGCTTTTCCGGACCGGCTGTGTTCCGGATGCAAATATCTTGGCCTATAAATCCATCCCCATCTACGGCTATAAAGAAATTGTAACAAAAATTGAGCATTAGTATCGTTAGTATTTTAAAATATGATAGTCGACTGCACAAAACAGAGCTGCCCTCAAAGCTTCTTTCTCAAACAGAGTCTTTGGAACTAAAAGAGTCTTCAAAGACTCTTCTCCAAACARAGTCTCTCAAATCAAAAGAARAAGCTTATCTTCTCCAACGGTCTTCTCCTTCAAGGACAGTCAAAGGAAAGTTCCACGAAGCTTCTGATATAATGCGTTTTTGGCGCATTCTAACCCTTATTTTGTAGGCTTTTATCGAGTCTTTCACTCTCTATCGAGTCATTCTAGGTACAAAAAGCGGCTGGAAGCAATGACTGAAACTTGCAATCGGAATTGGCTAGAAAGGAATGAAGTTGGACCCTTTTTGGACATTATGGAGAAAGGGAGCACCTAGTACGAAAGAGGGAGCACCTGCTCCCAGCAGAGTCATTAATGGGCTTTTTCCTAAACCTAATTTTCCAACCCTATTTTTGGGCCAGCCGTAATGGGCCTTTAAATAGGTCTTTTTGCTGATCTTTTGGGAGGGGGACGCCACAGCCACAGTCACGATTCACGCAACAGCAAGACATCACGAC